CCCGTGTCTCTGGACCTTCCTCTCTTTCCGCCCATCATGATGCAGCCTGTGCAGCACCCTGCCCTTCCACCCCAGCTGGCACTGCAGCTGCCCCAGATGGACACGCTCTCAGCAGATCTCACTCAACTTTGTCAGCAGCAGCTAGGACTGGATCCCAACTTCCTGAGACATTCTCAGTTCAAACGCCCACGAACAAGAATTACGGATGACCAGTTAAAAATCCTGAGGGCGTATTTTGACATCAATAACTCTCCGAGTGAAGAACAGATCCAGGAAATGGCTGAAAAATCTGGCCTCTCTCAGAAAGTTATCAAGCACTGGTTTCGAAATACACTCTTCAAGGAAAGACAGAGAAATAAAGATTCCCCATACAACTTCAGTAACCCACCAATCACGGTTTTGGAAGACATCAGAATTGATCCACAGCCCAGCTCTTTGGAACATTACAAATCCGATGCCTCTTTCAGTAAAAGGTCTTCTAGAACAAGGTTCACAGACTACCAGCTTCGGGTTTTGCAGGACTTTTTTGACACCAACGCTTACCCAAAGGATGACGAGATAGAGCAGCTTTCCACCGTTCTCAATCTACCTACTCGTGTCATTGTTGTGTGGTTCCAGAATGCTCGCCAGAAAGCACGGAAAAGTTATGAGAACCAAGCAGAAACGAAAGATAATGAGAAAAGAGAACTCACCAACGAGCGGTACATTCGAACCAGCAACATGCAGTACCAGTGTAAAAAGTGCAATGTGGTTTTCCCCAGGATTTTTGACTTGATTACGCATCAGAAAAAACAGTGTTATAAGGATGAAGATGATGATGCCCAAGATGAAAGCCAAACTGAAGACTCCATGGATGCCACTGATCAAGTGGTGTACAAACATTGCACAGTGTCCGGGCAAACGGAGGCGGCCAAGAGTGCGGCTCCCCCTGCTCCCAGTTCGGGCTCTGGGACTAGCACCCCTCTGATTCCTTCACCCAAACCGGAACCTGAGAAGACTTCTCCAAAACCTGAGTATCCCACAGAAAAACCAAAGCAGAATGACCCTTCACCCACTTCTCAAGGCACCAAACCAGCCCTGCCATTAGCATCAACTTCCTCAGACCCACCACCACCGGCCCCCGCAGCTCAGACCCAGCCCCAGCCACCAAAACAAGCCCAACTTATTGGAAGACCTCCTTCAGCCTCTCAAACCCCGGTCCCTTCCAGCCCACTGCAGATTTCTATGACTTCTCTCCAGAACACTCTACCTCCACAGTTACTCCAATACCAATGTGATCAGTGTACAGTTGCCTTCCCCACTCTGGAACTCTGGCAGGAGCACCAGCACATGCACTTCCTCGCTGCCCAAAACCAATTCCTTCACTCTCCATTTCTGGAAAGGCCTATGGACATGCCCTACATGATCTTTGACCCCAACAACCCCCTGATGACCGGACAGCTGCTGAGTGGCTCTCTCACACAGTTGCCCCCTCAGACCAGCTCTGCCCATGCCACTGCCCCTGCCACAGTGGCTGCTTCCCTTAAAAGGAAACTGGATGACAAAGAAGAGAACAATTGCAGTGAGAAGGAGGGAGGGAACAGTGAAGACCAGCATCGGGATAAACGCCTGAGGACCACAATTACACCTGAACAACTGGAAATCCTCTACGAAAAGTACCTGTTGGATTCCAACCCTACTAGGAAGATGCTGGATCATATTGCACGGGAAGTGGGGCTGAAAAAAAGAGTTGTGCAAGTCTGGTTTCAGAACACTCGAGCTCGGGAAAGGAAAGGCCAGTTCCGAGCAGTGGGTCCTGCACAGTCTCATAAGAGGTGTCCCTTTTGCCGAGCCCTGTTTAAGGCCAAGTCAGCCTTGGAAAGCCACATTCGCTCTCGGCACTGGAATGAAGGCAAACAGGCAGGTTACAGCTTGCCACCGAGCCCGTTAATATCAACAGAAGATGGGGGAGAAAGCCCACAGAAATACATTTATTTCGATTATCCATCGTTGCCATTAACTAAAATTGATCTCTCAAGTGAGAATGAATTGGCTTCCACAGTGTCAACGCCTGTTAGTAAAACAGCAGAGCTGTCGCCAAAGAATCTTTTAAGCCCGTCTTCTTTTAAGGCAGAATGTTCTGAGGATGTTGAGAATTTAAACGCTCCCCCCACTGAGGCCGGGTATGATCAAAACAAAGCGGATTTTGATGAGACATCTTCAATTAATACCGCCATCAGTGATGCCACCACAGGAGACGAGGGAAACGCAGAGATGGAGAGTACCACGGGGAGTTCAGGAGATGTGAAACATGCTTTGTCTCCCAAAGAGCCCAAAACACTTGACACTTTGCCTAAAACAGCCACTACGCCCACGGCTGAAGTTTGTGATGACAAATTTCTCTTTTCTCTCACGAGCCCCTCACTCCATTTCAATGATAAAGATGGTGACCATGACCAAACCTTCTATATCACGGATGACCCCGATGACAATGCTGACCGCAGCGAAACATCAAGCATCGCTGACCCAAGTTCACCAAATCCCTTTGGATCCAGCAATCCTTTTAAATCCAAAGGCAATGATCGACCGGGCCACAAGCGTTTTAGAACCCAGATGAGCAACCTTCAACTCAAAGTCCTCAAGGCTTGCTTCAGCGACTACCGAACGCCCACCATGCAAGAATGCGAGATGCTGGGGAATGAGATTGGTCTGCCCAAACGTGTGGTACAGGTGTGGTTTCAGAATGCAAGGGCAAAGGAAAAGAAATTCAAAATCAACATAGGGAAGCCTTTCATGATCAACCAGAGCGGAGCAGAGGGCACCAAGCCAGAGTGTACTCTCTGCGGGGTGAAGTACTCTGCCCGCCTGTCCATCAGAGATCATATTTTCTCCAAACAGCACATTTCCAAAGTGAGGGAGACAGTAGGAAGTCAGCTTGATCGGGAGAAAGATTACTTGGCTCCAACCACGGTCCGACAGCTGATGGCGCAGCAAGAACTTGATCGTATAAAGAAAGCTTCAGATGTGCTGGGCTTATCAGTCCAGCAGCCAAGCATGATGGACAGCAGCTCCCTCCATGGCATCAGTCTGCCCGCAGCCTACCCAGGACTCCCCGGCCTTCCTCCAGTCCTCCTCCCTGGAATGAATGGTCCATCCTCTTTGCCTGGATTTCCACAAAATTCAAACTGTAAGTCATTCTCAGGGAAGTCAGTTTAGCTTGTTAAACACTGTATATAGTGACAAGTAATCAAAAACAGCCAGCATTTGGCTTTCCTTTCATTTCAAGTGAAAACACTAAATCATTGGAATACATATTTTACTGATAGAGCAAATAACCAGAAAAGTTATTTGTGTTAAGGTAACCTGGTAAGGCAGAGGATAATCAAGACTGTAGCAGATTCCTAGAAATATGCTCGTTTTAAGTTAATATCACCCAATATTAAAAAATATTACTTGTATATACTAGTATCTTCAGTGCTTCTGAATGACATCCCAGCACAAACATGTCATATATGAAAGAGAAGCACTGAATGATAGATTGTTGGTATTTTTATTTATGTCTTTCCCAGAAGGAAGCTTTGTTTTGTTTAGGGGTTCCCCTCCATAAGTTCCAGGAAGTTCAAAAGTTAAGGACCCTTTAGCACCAGGAATTCACTCATATTACACCTAGCAGGTAATAATAAACTTATGTTTAAGCTTGAATTAACTAAAAATGTGACTTCTCTGATAATGTTTAAGTTAGTACTACCAAAAGATTTTTATTTTTGTTAACATTCATTGTTACTAGATAATAAATACATAAATTCACATCCCTAGAAATAGATCCATATTAGTCCATGATTCCAGATTTCCTCCTCCTTGTATCCAGGGTGTATATTTAAAGCACAGCAGTGTCACAAAGCTGTGTCAAACAAACCTAGATGAATACTGTTTCTGTGCTAATCAAAAGAGATGCCATTTGTGCAGGTTAAATTTGTCAAATAATTTCTTATTCACAATAAGTTTTGTTGTCTACAATAATGAATTTTCTTTATAAAAGGAAAATTTTATTTTGAGACTTTTGTATAATTTTTAATTATATATATTTAGAAAGCTTCCAAAGCACATAAAGCTTTGTTTTTCAGTTTCTACGTATTAAATTTCTCTCAAACACTTTCATTCTGTCCTCCTTTTACAGGAAACAAAATTCCCAATGTGATCTTAAGAAGATATTCTTGCTTTAACTTTTCCTTTAGGAGGCATGAACACAATCATTGACATCACATATCAAGGTCACTGCCAGCTCCTGGCTGTCCTGCCTCGAATGCGTTCTTAGCTTTTAAAGGAAGAAGAATGGTCTTTCCATACTAGAAAAACTCCTGCAATTTACTTTGTCAGTCTGAGACTTTGTTTACCTGAATATTCTTGATGCCTTATATGTTAGCGCTTAATTAATATAGCTTATTTGCTTTAAGTGTAATATGAATGTTTTAAGAAGGACACAATGTCTACTTTTTTTACCTCCCTTATTGCTTTAATTTTGTTACCTCAGCCTTCCCCTTTCACTGATTATCAAAGGGAAAATATCTTAGGTGACAAAAACCTATCACAGAACAAATTTTCTATGACTGGGTATGGAAAATGTAAGATTTCCAATACAGTCCATGAGCTAAGAATAAATGAAGTGTCATTGCTTTAAAGATGCAAGTCTGATTTGATTGATGGTAACTGTGTTGTCACCACCCTAAGTGGTGGTCAGAGCATCTTGTATATCTCTCCATGAGGTCAAAAGCCTTCCCTTGGACAATGCCTTCTTTGACCCACTGACCTGCTTTTGTCACACTGATGCTATGACCTGGAAGAAAGAAAGTAAGAAAGGAAAACAGAACTAATATTTATGAAATAATTAAACTAACCTTTTCCTCATTATATTCACCATAAATATAATTTATAGATCACCCCAAAATATGGTCATTGTTTATAACTCCTAGCATTTCTAGGAAGATATTGAAAATATGCCTTCCTCAGCTACCGTTATCTTTAAAATCACTAGGTGCTGAGAAATTCCGAGCTATATATTCTTTAAAGAACATATAGAATTATATATAGAATTATGGAATATTGCAGACCAGAGAGTGCTGTAAAGGTCCATGAACATTGCTCCCTGTTGGCATCTGTAATTTCGTTTGAGCTGATCCTGAATTTGTAACAGATTCCAAACATCAGCCTAGCAGAGATAATCAAAGAGGCCCCATCTGAGAGGACACACTAAAAGCCCACATTCTTTTTAGGTTAACTTAGGTGGGAAGAATGTCTATCTCTGTTTCATTGATTATGCAAAGGCATTTGACTGTGTGGATCATAACAAACTGTGGCTGACTCTGAGAAGAATGGGAATCCCAGAACATTTAATTGTGCTAATGTGAAACCTGTACTTGGACCAAGAGGCAGTAGCAGGGTAACACCACATGGTTCAAAATAGGGAAGGGTGTACGCCAGGGATGCATCCTGTCTCCATACCTTTTCAACATGTATGCAGAGCAGATTATCCGAGAGGCTGGGCTCTATGAGGAGAATTGTAGCATCAGGATTGGTGGAAGATCTATTAACAATCTGCGTTATGCAGATGACACAACCCTGCTTGCTGAAACTGAGGAGGACCTCATGCACTTGCTGCGAAGGGTCAAGGGCTGCAGCCTTCAGTATGGACTAAGGCTCAACGTCAAGAAGACAAAGATTCTCACCACTGGACCAATCGGCAGCGTCAAGATGGATGGCGAAGAGATTGAGATTGTTCACAGCTTCAGTTTGCTCGGCTCCACGGTCAACACTCTTGCCACCAGTAGTCAGGAAATCAAAAAGCGTATCGCAATGGGAAAGTCTGCTATTAGGGACCTCTCTAAAGTACTCAGGAGCAACGGTGTCTCTCTGGAGACTAAGGTGCACCTGATACAGGCCATGGTCTTTGCAATCACTTGTTATGCATCAGAGAGTTGGACAATGACTAGGGAGGACAGAAGGAGAGTGGATGCTTTTGAGCTGTGGTGCTGGAGAAGAGTACTGAATGTACCATGGACTGCCAGGAAAACAAACACATTCATCTTGGAGAGGATTAAACCAAGCTACTCCTTGGATGCAAGGATTCTGGGGCTTCGTCTGACATACTTTGGACACGTTGCAAGGAGGGACAGGTCCTTGGAGAGGGACATCATGCTTGGGAGGGTGGAGGGACAGCACAGGAGGGGAAGACCCTCTATGAGATGGATTGATTCGGTGACTCGGGTATTCGGGATGGGTGTGTCAGAGGCAGTGCGGTTGGCGCAGGATAGAGCAGGGTTTAGAGCTGTTGTGCATAGGGTCGCTGTGAGACGAAAACGACTCGACGGCACATGACAACAACAATGCAGAATACGTTAACCAGCTCATAGAGCAGAGCTGTGGTTCAAGCAACATCTTATTGTACTGTTTCTCATCAAACAAAGATCTCCTTCACTTACAAGGTAGGCATACCAGTTAGGTAGAATAAAGAGGAGAAAATTGCTTCATAAGTAAGTGACCTCTGTATTTCTCATAAACTCCTTGCTATAATTTATTACCTGTGGAATTTGAAAATAAGAAAAGTTTAACTTGAACCTAACTTTAATGAGATTTAGTTACAAAAAAAGGCTGCATGTTGAGACATTCTAGCCCTTAGAGGGTAGATTTAAAGATTTTCATCCTGAAGAAATTATAGAAAGGGGTTTATATGTATATGTGGTATACTATAAAATTAGTCTTTTTCCAAATTCTACACATCAAAGTTAGATTGATTGCATCATGTATGCTCAACTTTAGAATTTCTGAGCATCTCTGTTTTCTAATTTTGCTAGTCATAGTATTTCTTTTCCCTGGTAAAATGGCTATTCTAATTGTATACCTGCCTCAGTTCTCATAACACTTATTTTACCTTCCTTCCAAGAAATCTTCAAAGTTTTTGTCTTCTCCAAGTCATTAAGAGAGTCCGTTCAAGAATAGTGTATATCTTCTTACTAAAAAATGATCCTATGCAATGTCATCACTACTTAATAATGCTCTTTCTTTTCTTTTTAAATGAAGTGACTTCTTTTCTTTAAAAATTTCCAACCCATCAGTTCTTTTCTATCTTGGTAGACCAAAAGGCAAAAATCATATACCTCTATGCATGAAAAACATCAGAAAAATTTCATTCTTTAAGACATTAGCTTCTTTTGGCATATTGCTGGATATGAATAAAAAAATGCCTGAATTTTCCATTTGTAATTTATTTGGTTTATCTTTTCAAACAGTGTCTGATTTTTTCTGTTTCATTTATGTTTGAAAGTGTTGTCTTCCCTAATTTCCTTAAATGGAATTTTACAAACTTCCACTTTCCCCTTTCTCATGTTGTCGTCGTTGTTGTTATGTGCTGTTGAGCCACTTGCGACTCATAGTCACCCTATGTACAACAGCCCTAAACCCTGCTCTATCCTGTGCCAATCTTGTTGTCTCTGACACACATACCCCCAATACTCCACTCACTGAATTAATCCATCTCATTGAGGGTCTTCCTCTCTTGCTTTGTCCCTCCACTTTCTCAAACATGACATCCCTCTCCAAGGACTGGTCCCACTTGGCAATATGTCCAAAGAATGTCAGACAAGGCTTCAGAATCCTTGCCTCCAAAGAGCAGCCTGATCTCACCCTTTCTAAGATGAACCTGTTTGTTCTCCTAGTAGTCCATGGTATATTTAATACTCTTCTCCAGCACCACAGTTTAAATGCATCAATTCTCCTTCTATCATCCTTCGTCATTGTACAGCTTTCAGATGCATAGCAAGTAATTGCAAAGACTATGGCCTTGATCAGGTGCACCTTAGTCTCCAGACTGACATCTTTGCTCTTCAGCACTTTGGAGAGGTATTTGACAGCAGACCTTCCTAGCGAAATTCGTCTTTTCATTTCCTAGCTGCTGGTGACAAGAGCGTTAATTATGGAGCCAAGGAAACAAAAATGGTTTATAGTCTAAATCTCTTCACCATCTGTTATGATGCTGCCAATCAGCCCCATGGTGAGAATCTTTGCTTTCTTGATATTGAGTTTCAATCCATATTGAAGGCTGCATTCCTTGACCTTCTGCTGCAAGTGCTTCAGGTTCTTCTCAATTTCAGCAGTCAGGTTTGTGCCATCTGCATAACACAGATTGTTGAGGAG